CAAATCTAAGGGAGTTTTGAATTTTTTTTACTGAATACTACAGCAATCTGTTCACTATTTATATGTTTAAATCGCCCACACAAAAAACATGATATTCATATCAATATTTAGATACACCTTGACCTTGACTTTGACCTTGGCACGTGGGATTCGTGAGGCGTAAAGATGTTTTTCTTTAGATTTTTAAAAATGGAAAATTAGATTTTTTAAAAATAGATTTGTTCAAATAGATTTCTTAAAATAGATTTCTAAAAATAGATATCTTAAAATAGATTTCTTAAAATAGATTTCTTAAAATAGATTTCTAAAAATAGATTTCTAAAAATAGATTTCTTAAAATAGATGTCTTAAAATAGATTTCTAAAAATAAATTCCTTAAAATAGATTTTTTAAAATAGATTTCTTAAAATATGTAGTTTGGTTGATGAGCTGAGGAGGATGCACAATGGTACCGATGAGTCCTAAGTGCTATTGAGGAAGGCAACCTTTTTTTCTAATTACAAACATATAATATAATTTGATTTATTGAAATTTTTAAGTGCTGATGTAGATAGTAATTAACTTCATCAATCGATAAGTATGAAATTTATATTACCGGTAACATTATCAAGCCTCAAAATTCTCAACATTTTAATACTTAACACCTCTTACCTATGTTACAACCCTCCCAACCCTCAAGACCTTTTAATAATTTAAAAAATAATTTTAACCCTATATCCTAGACCCCAACCTATTAATTGCTGAAAACCTCATACACCTAACATCTATTCTATGATAATATATACCCATGTAAATGGTTTAAATCAAACCAATAGTAACCGAGATACTCGCTTAGGCCCTAACGGCAGGATTGTTTCCTTCAACGTTGAAAATCTCTTACACCTAACACTCATTAATAATTTATTAATACCTTCTTATCTCATACCATATAAATGCGCATGCGCAAACATCTCCACTTTTTAGTAGAATGAACCTTAGCGATTTCCCACGTTAATTTACATAAGGAATGAGGGGGAACCAGTGCAGTACCTTTACTGTCATATAAACAAAAAAATCATATGAGTGTGATTAACTACCAAATTAATGATTTACAAGTTTATTCCTATTATTTATAAAATAGGTTTGCAATGTGCTGGTGTGGAATGTTATCATCGACTAAAAACTTTAAATCTTTGTATTAAATTGATCGAAAACAAACTATAAATTGGTTTAGGCTATATAGAATGTTTCTAGTAAGCAGCAACTAATTTTTATTATGGAACCGAAAGACCCTTTTAAAATGGTTCAAAATTAAAATAAAATATGTACCAAGTAAATGTAGTAGTATTTTTTAATTTTTTAATTTATATTGAAAATGTATGCATGAAAGGTTTTCTGTCTAACGACTCATAGTCTCGGCTGACAAAATGTAAAAAAATATCGAACATATTATTCCTGGGCCCTATTTTGCACTCCCCAGATTAAATTTAGTTGTAGCAAATGATATTATCAAATAAGATGTCAAATCACAAGCAAAATCTCGTGACTACAGTACTAATGATTGCCTGTTTGGAAAAGTATCTTTGTTTGTAAATATTTATATGCATAGTTATATTTAAATGCGCGAGTGTAATGTTAAGTATAAACAAAATCCGCCCATTATGTATATACGTTTAGTTACCGACCCTAGTAGATAGGCAATTTGTTATTGTTTTAAGTTTTACCGTAGGGAGAGAGAAAATCAATATTAGGATAAATGGTCCAGCTCCTTTCTGGTTACGTAGGTACCTAAAAAGTATTTTAGTTTTTGGTTAAGTAATTAATTATTGTAACAGTGATTTTCTTGTGATAGTACCTAATTTAGATTGGGGATTAAAGTTTTTGTATATAATTTCGCTGTTTAATAATAAACGTAGTCAAAACCGGAGCACGTGGTTTTTCTGGAAAGTATTTTTAAAATCACAAGCAAAATCTCATGACTACTGTACTAATGATTGCCGAAAATTAACTAATTCATATTTTATGCCATATCTTTCTTAATAAGGACTGTCAGAACCATATTTACCTTAACTTGAAATTTTTTTAATCGTTTTTTGTATATAATCATCTCTAAAAATGTATGATTGAAATATCGTGCGAACTATTTGTTCGATCAATAAAAAACTTGCACCGGTCCTGTTCGCGCCAGCACCGTTATACGCATGAGCTCCGACACACTATTTTCTCCTTACGGTTTCATTTTTGATATATGGAATCGGCTTTCTATACTATTTCTATGCATTTGTTGCATCTCGCTAGGACGCGCCATTTTTAAGAGAAAAGCATGTTACCTTATTCGAAAGTGTAAACAATAATTAGTAGGTCTGTAGAATTAGAAATTTGATTTTTTTTTTAACTTTGAAAAACCGGTAACTAAAGAAATTTTAGAAAATATTTCATCTGGACTTCACTTGTAACACCCTGTATCTCGAAAACGAAACGTTTTCGGACCTATGTTTATATAAACTTTTACTACTATTTTTAACCGACTTCATAAAAGGAGGAGGGAGGTTCTCAATTTGTCGCAATATTTTTTTTATTTTTTTTTATGTATGTATATTGTTCAGCAATAATTCTTTAACACGGTGTCCGATTTCAATGATTCTTTTTTTGTTAGAAAGGGGGTACTTCAGGGGTGGTTCCATATAAATTTGGTCAAAATCTAATAATTGGGCCCATGAGAAAATTGTCAAACTCTTAATTTTTTATGTATGTTTAGCGATAATGCTTTACCACCTTGTCCGATTTATATGATTCTTTTTTTGGTAGTAAGGGGGTACCTCAGGGGTGATCCTATATAAATTTGGTTAAGATGTGGTGACGGCATCTGCACGTTTTTGAATTCGGTTTTTTTTAATTTTTAATTTCTAATGCTTGTGGGATGTAGATTACGCTGTTAAAATGTGACCGTCTAATTTCGGGACACCCTGTATATTGGAAATTCGAAATAATAGTTATGACGTAGCGGTGTTTTTCTAATTGTAATCGGACCCTAGGTATATGGATACGGAAAGTGATGAATTGGAGATAGGTAAATTGTATTTATTGTATTAAAGGAACAACAAATATAAGTACAATTAAATATTAATATACCAATTTTTTAAAGTCTGTATTAAAAAAAAATTTTTTCACATTATTACACAGATTATTAAATTAAAAAAATAACTATTAAAACACGAAATGTTAATTTTTTCTCTTTTACAACACAAAATATACAATACTGTTGAATCAAAATTTTCTCTTGGCAGCAGGTGGTTTTTGTGACGCGACAATTATGATGCTTTGCATCTCATGAATTAAAGTTAATTCTCTTTCAATCTTAAGGTGTTCATACCCCTTATAATTTTCGGACAAGAATATCTCAAAATATTTAAATTTTGGCAAAATAAATTAGGCAATAATATCTATAATATGCATATATTTTAATGTTTTAATTCCTTCCAGTTTCCCAAAAAAACTAAAAGGGCTTTATTTTGAAATATCATAATGAAAATAAATGCATTCCTCGACAGCACTATTCTTAATATAATCCCCAAATTTAAGCCCCTAATGTCTTGTTAATGATTTCTTAAAATTCGCCAAAATTAGTGGCTAAAACGCTTCGTTAAGTGCTATCGTTTGGTGTAAACTGGTGTAAATTATTGCAAGAAACGAATAATGACAGAGTGTACAATACGATAGTTACAAGCCCGTTACACTGTTTTCCACTCAATTTATTAAAAAAAAAAATAATAATAAATTAGGGTGTTAATTTTTTTTCTCTGAAGCTATTGGTTTTGGGAAAAAAATTCAAGAATAAAAAAAAATTAAATAAATCAAGGATTTCATAAAAGTTCATCTCGAAAAAAAGGTTTGATATGAAATAAAGTAAGTTTTGCTAATTTCACCCCCCTATAATGTAACAGAAATATTGAAAAAATACCCGTGGTTAGTCCTTTGCGATTACAGAATTTCAAGTTTCTAGCTTTACTGAAATTTTAGAAAAAAAATAAAAACTCAATTTTAGTCACCACTTTTTAAGGGTGATATCTCGAAAAGGGGTGGGCTACGGAAATTTTGTTATAGGAAAGACCCATCTTAATTTCATACGAGCAATCAGTTCCTGAATTTTGTCGCATGTAAGAAATACCCTGTATATTACACATTTTTTTAAGCGTGCAAAATTCTTGACAATCTCTTTTCCCTAATTGGCACATGTCGTATTTTTCTAGGATTTACTAACTCTGTCAGCAAACAAATAAAATAGAAATTTGTCAGCTGTGCATTTTTGCCTTCCAGAATTTTTCATTTCATAAATTAACTAAAAACTAAATTAAACAAAACCTAACAACGCCTCAACAACAAACTAAGACAATCACAATAATTTCGCACCTCTTCAAAAACAACTACCTATTTTTCGACACAGGAATTAACAAATTTAACTAAACAGCAGCTACCCTTTTAACCACGGGCTTCAAAGACTACCAGCGTTGCCATATTCACTGGTATCATTGTTTTAATAGAATTAGTATCGGAATGAAAACTATGTTAATCTTCGGTCCTGTTTAAAATTGGTAATCTTTGAAAAAAAAGTTATTTAGAAAATAGTTAAGATATTTGTTATAGAATGCCGGTAAAGAGACAAAAAATTAAATTTGTTAAAAAGTTGAAATTTTTGTTGTTTTTCTTTAAAAATATAAGTTTTTCGCGATTTAGCGAAATTCTTGGTTCATTTTTACGATTGGCCTGAACCATTTTTTTTTACAATTTTTTTTAACTGCCTCAAATGTAAAATTGATTTTTGGTGGAGGAGCGCCCGTCATGTTTGCTCTTAAGAACTATTTTTATAAGAACTTTTTGTCTAAAAATTAAGCATCCTAAAGTATGGCCACATACTAAACGATCGCGCTATATTATAGAGCTTAATATATTATGTTATGCTGCTACCTAAAACATCAGTCAAAATATGCGGAAGGATTTTACGTTATGGTATTATATTTTAGCCACCTGTGCCAATAGAACATGTCGAAGGTATTTATGATGCTACAAAAGATGGTCCCTCATGTCCTCAACCTGGTTATGAACCGGTTTCAGAGGACTGTTTGTTTCTTAACGTTTACACAACAAAAGTAAGTGACAATCCGTTTGCTTAATATATATTTTTAATATATTTATACCGATTGTAGCTTCCTCATGGTAAATATAATCCCAAACGACCAGTAATAGTTTTTATACATTCTGGAGGCTTTTATAGTTCTACTTCAGATAGTTCCTGGTTAGGTCCTCATTATTTTCTGGACCAAGATATTGTTTTGGTATCATTTAATTATCGTATTGGAACTTTAGGTAAGATTTTCTCTTGATTTAATATAACAGGTGACGTATTTAAAAGGTGAAGATAGTATTGAGGATAATTCTACATTAAATCATTTTGCTAGAAATTTTTCCCCAGTGTTTTATTATAATAACACTTATAATATGCTGAAGTGCAAGTTTATATATTAATGTAATAATTTGCTACATTTGTCGGAAAATGACAGCCCGCAATTGACTTTCAGCAATTGACCGTCAGCAATTGACCACTAGCAATTGACCTCTAGCAATTTACCGCCACAGTAATTGATATCATAAGCAATTTGATTGATCGCCAGCATATTTACCACTAGGTAATAATATACAGGGTGTCCCAAAAATATACTTTTTAGTTTAAAAGATGGCGAGTACAAAAATTACCATCCTATTTACGTAACAATTTCCAAATGTACAATTATTAAACAAACTGACTAATGTATTATAAAATTAAAAATATTTTTAAGGATTTTTAAGTACTGGAGACAAAGAAGCACCTGGAAACAATGGATTTAAGGATCAAATTGTAGTTTTGAAGTGGGTACAGAAAAATATTGAAAAGTTTGGTGGAGATCCAAATTCTGTAACTATACTGGGATATAGTGCTGGAGGATGGAGTTTAGTGTTACATATGCTTTCCCCTCTTTCTGAAGGTACGTTTAATTATATGGTTATAACGTAGGTTCCAATAGTTTTGTGACAAAATTTAGGGTTCAAAAAATAAGTTGTGTAATGTCGTTTTATGTGTGCTCATCGTTAAATAAGAAATTTATTGGTTTAATTTCAAGTTATAATAGTGAGAATGGAATGCATTATATCATAATAATTATGCATTATGCAAGAGCTAAAATTAAATTCATTTAACAGTAAATATAGAAATATATAGTTATCTTATCTTAGTTTTTTGTTTTTTGTTTTGTTTTGCTGAAATATTGATATGGACATTTTAGTTAAATCCAGCTGTGACTACTCTACCACACAGCAGTTTTTTAATATTACGAGCAGCGATTCATTTGTTTAATTACACAGTCCTCGGTTTTCATCCCATGTGCCTACATCGTGGTCCTCCTTGTTTGTATTTTTAAAGTCGTCCTGATAGACTCTAGGACGTGAAAAAGTGTGTTCCCTATTTGTGTGTGGGTAATAAGAGCTAAAAATAAAAAAGTTAGCAATATTTTTTTTTTAAATTATTCACTTGACGATATAATGGACCGGTCCTTTAAATGCTGTAAAAATAAGGAATTTTCGAATTACTGTTGTATGTCATGTGCTGGTATTTTCCACCCTAGTTGTTTAGATCGGTCTAAAGAAGTTGTTAAATTAAATGGTTACAGAATTTATTGTTCAAAAAATGTCAATTTCAAGTTTTAAATAATGAAGAACGCGAAAAGGGCAGGGTTTGGTGATTTTAATTTTAAATTAACATTTAAGTGCTTAGGAGTGCTGTTTTTACAATTTCTATATCGAGGGAAGTCCTGGGTAAAATACTTTACCCATTTTTTTAAATTGTAGTTAATAGTTTAAAAAATTTGGCACTAACTTTATTTCAATATCCAATTGTCTTCATAGGCAAATTTATTTTTAAATAGATTTTTAAAGAAATTTTATTTAATTTGATCCCCTCATCCCCTTCCTAAGTGATTTTGTTAATTTTTTTGGGTTGTATATTATAGTTTCTAACAATTTGGCACTAACTTTATTTCAATACTAGATTGTCTTCTTAGGCAAATTAATTTTTAAATAGATTATTAATGGAATTTTATTTAATTTGACACCCTCATCCACTTCCTAAGTGATTTTGTTAATTTTTTTAGGTTGTATTTTATAGTTTTTAACAATTTGACACTATTTTTATTTTAATATTCTGTTATCTTTATAGAAAAATTGATTTTTTAATGCATTTTTTTATTGGATTTTTATTTTAGTTTACCCCTTAATCCTTTCTTTAAACACTTTTTATTTGTTTCTTAAAAATTTAGTAGTAATTTTATTTCAATACACCGTTAACTTCACAGAAAAATACATTTCGACGCCACTGGTAACTCGGGTGTTTCCGGTAAACAAGCTGCTGGAAAGTGGCTGCTAACTTCACACCGCTTAAAAGAAATTGACAATCTACATAATAAAATTGACGAGAAAGAAAATTATATTAAACGGCTAAATAGAGGCACACAAGAGTTTATTAACAACGTTTCTAAAATAGGTATATTGCATTCAGGATGGACAGAAATTATGCCCTCCTCAATTGCAGCCAAAGAAGTAGAACTTTAATAGCAACTTTGCCTCACGTTACAACTGACAAGATTGATACTCCAACATCTACGCAATATGATGATATTTGGGTTAAGGCTAAAACAAATAAGATCGATACGGTAAATGGATGTATATATTTCTCCAAACTCGTCATTAGAAAGCTATTTATCTTTATGTGATTTATGAATCTCTAAAAAGCAATTTTAAAAATCATAAATTCATAATATGTGGTGACTTCAATTTTCTACATGTCCAATGGGAAATTGAAGATAATTTTGTTATTCTAACTAGAATTCAACCTACTACCGCTGAAGCTTTGATTGATAAAATTTATTTCCATGAATTCAATCAAATAAACTATGTTTTCAATTCGCTCCAACGGATACTGGATCTTATATTTGTTGACGAGTTTGAATCAATTTAATGCAAATCTAGTGATTGTTTACTGGTGAAAATTGATTCTCTACATTCCCCACTTCACGAATAAACCCTTTTGAGGACGCTTCTGACCACCTGTTTCTCATTTCCATTATTAACTTGTTATAAATACAAACGTACTCTTGGTGGAATTATTGTTATTGTGAGACGAGGCAGCTCTCATCAATAGCTATTTCCGACGATAAGGTTTTTACTTTCTCAATTCTTTTTTTTTTTTTCTTTAGTGTACGGCTTCAACATCTAAGGTCATTAGCCTAGTGTTCTATGTAGGTTATGGATTGTACTAGTAGTCTAATACTCCATAGTGTAGAAGTATTAGTACTCTAATACTCCTACACCCCTACAGACAGGCCTTGTTACTGTTTCCTTGCGCCACTTTAGGAACAGCACTGTTAATTAGAACCAAAGAGGTTAGAAAGGGTAGAGGTAACATAGGAAGCATTTGTCGCTGCGCGAATTTTGCCAAAACCGAAAAACTGGGTGGAAGGAGTAGGGAGATGTTCTGGGCCGGACTTAAATATTTGTATTGTAATACCTAATTTTGGTGGGTAACTAAAAGATGAAAAATTATGAGACGTTTTTTTGACTTTATTTGTTAGCACGATTCAAGTATGATGTGGGCAATAACACTTTATCAATATATAACTAGCTTTAAATTATTAAACGAAGATTAAAATTGTCAAAGTAAAAATGTCATTTGAAACTCCATTTAGTAATTTAAACTTCGTTTTTGTTAATATAAAAATGTCATTATAATCTTCGTTTAACAAAACGGTGAAATCTACCCTAAGTAAAAGTTTATAAAATTATTGCAACAAAATAGCTGTTGAGACAAAAAGTTATTGAAACAGTCAAAATACTTTTTGCTCGAATTACACACAAGATTTTTTCTACGATCACACCAAAATAAAATAAATAATTAAATTTTATTAGAAATGGTTTACCTTTTCGTTCGTTATAATATTTTAAGTTTATTTGACATAGGCCTACTCTTCGAAGAGAAAAAATGTTTTGGTACTTATATGCCGGTAATTATTTATGATTTAATTATTTACGGAAAATACCGTCCAATGAATTAAAATATTAGGAAGTCAATTAATAGTTATTTATGTAACCAGTTACGAAATGCCTTATTTTGTGTAACGAGTAAATATTTCCGGAACGAGCGGAGCGAGGTCCCGCAACATAAACGACTTACACAAAACGGCATTTTGTAACGTGTTTATATACAAGATTTTTTCTAATTTTGACTTGATTATTTATAAAATTGTGTTAAAAATGATTCACCATCATTTTTCTGTAGGTACTTCCAATCAAATATTTTAGAATTGTTTGTTGTATTTGATTGCTCTACGACGTTTTTTTTTTTCAATAGTAATAATAAAAATAAGGGACATGTGCAGTGTTTCCGATCTAATTTTTGACATTACCCACGAGAAATTTGAAAAAAAAACATTTTTACTCATTATACTTAAAGGAGTACATCAAAATTTTACCCCCAACATTTCTGGACAGTTTTCAATAACGGTGTTATTTTAAAAATAAAACGCAATTTACAGCTTTTCTTTTTTTGTTTTCTTTTTTGTTGTTAAACGTAATGTCATATTTTCAAATGTGAAATGTCACTATTCATTGCCTTTTTTTTGATATTTGGTTTTTTGGATTTTTCGTTTTATGGATTTTTGGATTTTTTATTTTTCGATTTTTAGATTACTCGATTTTCGATTTCTCGATTTCACGATTTTTCGATTTTTCAACTTAAAAACCAAAAAAGAGGCAGTTTTATTTATTTTCATTTCGTAACTAGTGACATATTCAACTTTTCGTAATCAGTTGCATAATGTTCTACTTTATGCAACTGGTTGCATAAAGTAGATCGTTTTGACACTTGCTGCGATTACAAAATATATTACTTTATATGTCAAAATTAGAGAAAATAACAGAATGTAAATTAAATGGATAGATCCCATATCAGCGAAATATTTGACGGAGCCCTAAACACATAAAACACAATTTAAAAAATTTATTTCAAATTTTTCTTTATTTTGACTCTCATTTTGACTTTCAATAGGTAAACATGATAAAAAATCGGCTTTATATTATGCTCCGATTTCACATATTCAATTTTATAATTGTAATTTGACAATATTACTGCCCATCTACGTAGTCTGTTGGCTGAAAATTGGGGTATACATTTAGCTGGGTTAAAAATAGTTACCAGAGGTAAGTGATCTGTAACTAGGATAAAGAAATGTCCATATAAATATTCATTAATTTTATTTAAGTTAAAATTTATTGCAAGGACCTCTCTTTCAATTTGGGAATATTTTTGTTCGGACTTTAATAAGGTACGCGAAGCAGAAGCTACAGATTTCTCAATATTTTTTTCAAAAACATGACATATCATGGCCCTAATTCCCATATTTGATGCATCTACGAATAATTTAATCGGCAACTCAGGCTGAAAATGCACAAGAGCATCATTTGTTGTAAATTTATTTTTGATTTATTCCAAAGATTCCTTGCAAGAATTATCCCAAATCCATTTCACCCATGAAAAATAAAATAAAAAAAGTCCTAAAGCAAAATCATATCCTTCTTCCTGTTAGTGTTCCTGTGGCGATAGTACTGTTTTTTTTTATTGTGATTATTTTCTTCGCGGAGCCTTCACAAAGGCTTTGCGGAGCCCCAGGGCTCCGCGGAGCACACTTTGAGTAACACTGGTATAGAGAATTACTAAATAAATAGTTTTGAGAAAACTATTGAAACCAGTTGTGAAGTTTGAAAGGAATACATTGGCAATGAAATTGATATTTCTGTATTTGATTGTAACTTTCTCTTTTCACTTCCTAAAAAAAGATTCCCCATGAAACAAGAAATAGTAAACAGTTTATAATAATAACCTTTATTTGCTACTTATAACATGTACCAACGACCAAGTCCGATTCTGTTTATTTTCAAA